TCATTAAATCATCAGCTTGAAACAGGTTGTGCACAGGCAAGTCCCCTCCGTTGCCAGAGTCCCCAATGCCAGAGCCATGCCGAACAAGAGTACTGTTCTCCCCAACCATATGAAGCATATCTCCTTGTATATTAACTGCCTGAGCTGAAAAATTACCTTCAATTTGGTTATGCATTGTTCTATGAAAGACATGGGCAGTGCCATTATGGCCAGTTGCAGGATCACCATTAGCTAAAACTTGTGGGAAGGCACAATGCATGGGATCCAAATTTGTTTCTTGAAATCCCAAATGGTTAGAGATTGCTTCTCCTAGCATATAGTTTCCAGATTCATCTCCATTTCCAGAATAATTGTTTTCGGCAGGCGCAAAAAGGAAACCCAGATCCAATGAGTTAATGGGCTCATTGCAAATTCTTTTACGCAAAGCATAGTAGCAGGTACGGACACTCTCGGATTTTCTCTTCCCAGACAAATTTTTGTTATCCTTTGAATTGCCTGATCTACCGAATTTTGATGTAGAAGTTGAAGAAGAATGTTCAAACTCAATCATGTGAGATGAAGCCTCCTCAGAAATAACTGGATCATAAAGAAGAGAATACCACCGATTTTGCAGTTCCCAAAAAGTGAATTTTCGGGAGAATTGCACTGCACCTTTGGCAAGAGATTCTAAGGAGGCACCAGCCTGCAAAAAGATGATTAAAATAGAAGGCATAAAGGTTTGAGAAGCATGCTTTAGAGAATCATAGGTAACACAAGGAAAATATAAGTTGGAAGATTAATTTATGAACAACAGATTATATTGAATTGATTGTCATCATTTAAAATGAAGAATCATGACATGCAAGTCACTTGTTTGATGCCTTCAGAGTTATATCTTACATATTGGTATATCTTACATACTGGGAAAGTCAATGGTCTTTATAAAAAAATTCCATTTGAAAAACTAAATTTCATAACATTAATCTCTCTAGCAGTCAACATCAAGAGTAACACAAGACAGAGACTATAGTGTATGTAAATCATTGATGCCTAAAGAGCCATCATAAGAACGTTAAATTATTCAATATATCATTTTGACATTAAAATCTAGATATGGTTGAGATATATAGCTCTAAAATTTTAGAAATTTATATTTTTCAAACAACTACTTTTAAATGCTTTATTAAATTGATATAACAACATCAGGCACAGTGACACATGTCACACATCTATATTTTCAATTGTGTCAATTTACATGAATGCCCAAATAAAAAAATAACCACACAGCCATAATTACATATTAGCAACCTAGCATGCAGCAAGCCATAAATTCTGGAACTCAGAAGGCGACAATGGTGCTTATAGTCATGAATCTTTGTTCTAGAGATACAATGTAGAGTAATCTCCAAAAAAAAAAAAAACCACACTTGCGTTTACAGATAACTATATTTTTTATGATGCTAGAAAGTATAATCAATACTGTTGAGCCTACCGTCCTCCAAATTTGACATGGTGAGTCAGCTGACATACTGCAAATCCAAATCTTTACTAAACATAGGATCCTAAAAATCCAACTACACTTGCTGGATCCAGTATATGGCAAGAGATGAAATATAAAGAACCACAACTTTTGCAACATCTTAATTCAAGGTTTGCAGTGGCTTGCCTCTGAAACAATCACGGTGGATAACTTACAAATATTAGAACCCTTGAACTTGATACAAGTCAGATTTACTTTGTCAACATGCATATGCTAATTATCAGTCATCACATGCCATAATTGATACTTCAAAAGAAAAACCCAGATTTTAAAAACCCATAAGAGTTAAAACATCGCACACTATCCCCCTAGTATACCACATTGATTCATCTAGGGAAATTAAAACATGTATTCTGTAAGTCCATAGCCAAACCAGAGAATAAAAACTCAAGAAAACACTATTATTTTCCTATTTTCTGTTTTTATTTTACAATCAAACACCAATTTCACCCTCCGAGCCTTCAAAATGACGCCAATTCAACAATAAAAAAACAAGAAAAAGTAATAGAACCAAAATTGGGTCAAATTCATAAAAAGGGTACTCAACAAGAAGCAATCTTGGAACATGAATAAGCTCAAAACACATGAATGGTTCTCAAACTTTACCTCAATGGCGTTCTTCAACAAAAGGTCATCTTCTGGAATCCAGGAGGAGACTGGAGCTAAAACCCCCATCTCCGAAGCTAAGCAAAACAAAAAACAGTAAAGAACCCCGCTTGACTCCTCCTTGTTTCCCCCTTTCAAGAATTCTCCCCTGAAATCTCGTTTCTTTTTTGTCCAGTGGACAGTGAGACGCGGAAACTGCAGTTGAAGAAAACAGGTGGGGTTTTAGTTAGAGGGAACGTCTTGGCGAAGAACCAGGTGGGTGGTGGGGTTTAGGGGAAGGAGAGGTTATTGTCGAACGTGGGATTTGGTAGCTTTTGCTCAGGTGACTGCAGGGTTGACGGAATTTACATGAAATCTGAGTGGGATTGGGGCACGTGCGATTAAAATGAACGAAAATTTCGCCGGTAATTTATTAGGCTGTGGGAATTGTATTTTATTTTTAAAAAATAAAATAAAATACAGTAAAATAATGTTTTTGGTGATTTAAAAAATAAATAAAATAAAATTCAATGTCGACGTAATATCTGGATATGGAAATTTGAATTTCGGACTTATAAGGCATCATAATATAACCATAATCTATGAGAAATAATTAAAAGTTGACAAACAAATATCATTTTAAAACATAATTTACATTAAAATAAGTTTGTGGTAAATTTTTATTTTAAATGACTATGTTAATATTGAGTGCATTTTAAAATCACTCAAGTAATAATATATAAAAACACCTTAATAGTTTGAAAAAAAAAATCTTAAACTGATTTAATATTTAAAAATAAAAAAATGATAAAGTGTGCATAATTAACATCAAAGTGGTATCTTAAGGTGCACGAGAAAAATATATACATTTTAAGGATTTTAATATTATAATGGATGTAATTGAAAGTAATCAAGAAGACGACTCCACGTTCTAGAGGCACCAACAAGTTAAAATTCAAATTTATATCAATTACCTCTAAGTAATTATTATAAACATTTTTTTATGGGAAGTTTATGAATCAAATTTTAAATTTATAATTAAAAATATAAATAATTTTATTAACAAATTTATAAATAATAGTATTACTGTATTAGACTATCATGATCTCTAATTACTCTAAATAATATTTTTTAAGTTTTAATAAAATCTAGGTATTCTGTACTATACGATCGTACATTTGGAAAGAGGCAAAATGTACGGCCATACCTTTGTAAAAAAAAAGGGTGAATTTCCCAAATCTAGGTATAAATAAATACACTTCTAAAAAATATATATATAAATAAATTATATTTTTAAATTATAAATAAAGATAAATTACTTATTTTTTAATGTGTGACATTAAGTTTATGTTAAAAAATATTTACATAACAAACAGAAATCTAATATCATATATTAAAAAATAAATAATTTATTTCAATTTATAATTTTAAAAAATACATTATCTCTATATTTTAAAAAAAAACAGATCTATCCCCACCTCCTGAAGGATGGATTTATTGGTTTTACGGTGAAAAAATGAGTTGACATCTCAGCTATGTAACCATGTTGACATACAGCCACTCTTCTCCTTATCGTTGGGCTCAGTGGGCCTGTTCCTTCTTATTCTTTAGGGAGCAAAGTAAATGTAGGCCTACTATTTTTTGGTAAAAGTGGGCCTGCTAATTTTGATTCTTAGATTGAGGGTAAGTTTGTTTTGAAGGAAGCATGGCCCTCCCCACCTCTGAGTCTTTCAAACATCTTTCTATTTCTCTCCCTTCTTCTCAAGTGAATAATTTAAAGAAATTATAAGCAAAAATAAATCAAAGGTCTCCTCTCTCTCTTTCCGTTTCCTCTAATTTTTTTATAATTAAGTAATGAAGTTATCACCCTTCTTGTCCTCTCAAATCAAACATAACCAAATTTTTATCCAAGCATCAACACTTCAATTTGTGTAACTTTTTAGCAATTTAGCATCCATCACAATCAATAACCTGGTATTGGGAACTATAGCTATAATAAGAACTGGTTCTGCACAAGGAAAGGAAAAATTTTAAACTTTTTTAATTCTAATAGTATGTTTGGGTTGTGGAAAATAAATGAGAGAAGAGAAAAGGAAAAGAGTTTCCTTTATTTGATTATCAAAAAAATTAGAGGGGAGGAGAGGAGGAAATTTTCTCTCTTTTTTTTAAAAAAAAAATTTATTTACTTATGTAAATGAGGAGAATGGAGGGAAAGGGTGGAAAGGGAAATGAAGGGGAATGAAAGAATAAAATTCCTTCTCCTTTTCTTCCTTTCCCATCTATTATTCTCAATCTAAACATTCATAACACATACATTTATTTGATGTAATCTAATTGTTAGGTATAGTTATGCCACACAACAAATTATTGGCCCATATAAAATCTTAAATGTTGTTTTTTAAAATGTTGATTCTGTTTAATTTGACTATTAAAAATAGTTAATACCTATAATTATCAATTAGTAAATAATAAAATAATTGATATTTATTATTAAACAACTTAAAATTAGTTTATACATTGATATTTTTTAATGTTATAACCAACTGTTTATAAACTAAAAAAATTTATATGACATTAACACCTTTTAGTTTGTGGCATTAGCCAATAATTGTTAATACAATAATCAATAAATCATCACCAAATCCTAACTTTATGTCTGATTTAAGAAGAAGAGATGAATGTATTTATTAATCAATCAAATTATACGTTTTTAAATATCATAATTTAATTGATAAAAAAATCTATACTTCCCCTCCCCTCGTTTCCCTCCAACCAATCTCCATGCATGCTTATTATAAAAAAATTTCCGCAAGTTATAGGCCAAGTGGCAAATGCCAAACACCACAAGGGGATGATCTTGAGTTCAAGCCATGGGTTATGAATAGGAGCAACTATGTCTGCATTAAAATCTTAATTACTTGGACATAATCATACCATTAATAAAGGAAACTAATTAAGAAGACTACAAGTTCTCCACAGCTAGGGAAAGCAGTGATGAAACCTGAAAAGGTCAAAGCTAGAGAAAGTAAAACCTAGACATACATGCATGTCTTTCTGAGAATATTACTACAAATACATTTTTATTCATGAAAATAAGTGGAATATTTGTCTAAGGACCTTGTAAGATGCTACTCAAGCAAGTGATAGGTTGTCAGGTCTGACCCTGCTCCATTGTGAAGACACTGTTGATTAGGCTGCAGTTGAAAAGCAAATATGCGAGGACCTCCATTGTGGTATCCAATAATGTCATAATCCCCTCCATCATCAACTAGCCCATACTGTGGTTCTTCTCCTCTTAATTCCTTAATCCAATTAATAGATTTGCTTTCTCAATTTTGTTCCAAGGAATTAATTCAAATATAAAAATCAAAAGGAATGCGTGCACTCGCACATACATAAAAAGGAAAATTGCGTAATAAGGAATGCTTACAAGCTCATGTAAGAGTTTTTTGTGTATGTCTTCCACATTCCTTACCTACAACAAAGAAAAGAAGATCAACTAAGAATACACGGAGCCAATTTAATTTGTGTTTATATGAATCAAGAAGGGAAAATATATACCATGACTGGGAACTTACTTTTTTCTTGGAAGTTTCAATCTGATTGCTAATTACCTTAATCTGTTACATATGCATCACAATGAAAAATAAAATCAACAACAATGCATTATTCACAATCAACTGCTTTTAGGTTGAACGATCATGTTATATCTTCAATTCATTCTCACTTGTTTTTCTAACATTTTATTTATTATTATTTAGTTCAGTTCTCGTAACTGCTGCAGCCAAATTGGCAACTTTTGGATAATAAAATTTCACACTTATCACACAAC